TTCAGGAATAGTGTTTTAGATACACAGAGAGAAAGAACAGAGAAGAAGAAAACAAAACCAAAAAATAAAAGAAGTCATAAAACATATATAGATTGGCATTCTTTTTAGCTATCATTTTTTTGAACATAATTAGGTATCCAATGGTGTGCTAGAGCTAATTTGTACCAACTCATGATAACCAACTGTGTATACATCTATTCCAGGCTCCACACTTATTGATATCCTTTTGGTAGTTTGGGATTGGCCATGGTGACCATATTTATACCAGGGAAATTAGCAAATAATTAATGATCAGAAACTTTTTTTTTAACCTGGGGAGCTGGTTGTTAACATTTATTAGCACACCACTGCTTATATCCCTTGTAATGTACAAGATAATCAATCATCAACATTCTAGGTATTACTCACCACCATTGCTTTAATGTATATTGTCATTTTCTCAACCAACTTTAATCCAGCATTTTACTTTTGTTTTTTTAAACTTTATCCTTGTATGCATTCAAACAGAATTTCTTGGAATACTGCTTTGTAATTATACATTTATTTGTGGGATATTGTTTAACTCCTGCTCTCCTTCCGTGAAGAACAGCTGGGAGTGTTTATGTTTTGTCTTGGTCTGTAGTCAGAGCCTTCAGTAGTATATGATCCATAGGTGAGCGAATGAACAAATGAATGAATGAGAAGACAGACTATAGCATGAAAAATTAGTGTGATAGACTAAGATATCCTCCTAAGCCCTCCCCAAGCCCCCACAGTTGGAAGCAATGTTAGAAAGTAGACCCTGAAGAGAAGGCTCACTCTCAAATCCATTCTCTCACCCAGTGGTTCTCAAACTTTGCTGCATATTAAAATTACCTGGGTACTTTTTAAAACCCTAAGGCCCCACTCACTCCCCACAATTCAGAATCTCTCAGAGTGAGATCTAGGTATCAATTTCTTTTAAAGATCCTCAGCTTATTACAACATGTAGCCAGGTTTGAGAACCAGTGCTATCTAGGGCTTGGAATCTGGGGTAGGTCTTGGAATTCCTGGTGTACACAATTCTGTTGTTGGGAAGGGTGTCTGAATATCCACCTAGGAGCAACTGCTGAGAATTGTAACTGATGGTTACTGCTTCCATCTTCAGATATGACTGGCCTAAAGTTTTAGTTATAGCTTGAAACAAGCAAACAAAAATTCCCATTTCACCTTCTCCATCTTGTAAAAAACGTTTGTAAATTTCTCTCTCTTTCACCTTCCATCCTACAACTCTCTCTCATTCTTGCTTTTGTGCTCTATTTTGGGAACTCAGGTTCATAGCATTGAGTTAATAATATGATATTATTATCATTCTGGACAATAACCTTCTCTTGTTCTATTATGTTTATATTCTTTTTTTCCCTTAAATCCCCATTCCCTGCTATAATTCATCTCCCCCTGAAAAGGTGGCTAAAATAATGTGTTTGATATGTACCTTTAAATTTGTTTGTATTCTTCTTACATATGTTGCATAAATATGCGTTGTTACTTTGCTCAGTGCTGTTTCCAACATCTTTCCATGTTGCTGTGTTTATCTAATGCTTTTATTTTTAACAGATAATTTATGTATTTAGAGTCCACCTTTGTATGTTATACAAGATAGGCAGATTGGTTTATTTTTCTCCATGTAGAGAGCTAGTCTTTTTTACACTTCCTATAAACAACTTATAATTTCTCCCTTGATTTGTGGTGCCATTTCAATTATAAATCCATTTCCCATCTTCTTTTCTGTCTATTTTGAAACATTGCTTAGTTGTCTAAGTCCACACCAGTGCTATAGTGTTTATTGCAAAGGCTTTTTAGCATATCTAAATATTGCATTGGGAAAGTCCCCCATTTCTTTGACCTTCTCTTTCAGAGTTGATTTAGTTATGTATGGACCTTTAGTTTTCCATAAGCATTTAAAAATAAGTTTGTCCCCCTGGAATTTTGATTGATATTGTATTCAATTTATCTGCTGTTTTGGAGATAATTGACATTTTAATGATAAGTCACTGTGCAATATTGTCATGTTAATCCTATGTGATAAGACAGAACAGTGGTCCTTCAAAGATGTCCATAACCTAATCCTTACAACCTCTGACTATGTTGCTTTACATGGCAAAAGAGATTTTGCTGATGTGACTAAGTTAAGGATCTAGAGATGGGGAGACCATCCTGTATTATCTGGCTGGACCCTATTAATCGCAAGCGTACTTACAAAGGGAGTCAGGAGTGTCAGGAGCAGAGATGGAGATGTGGCAACCGTGCCAGAAGTCAGAGTGACGCAGGGCCTTGAGCTAAGGAAGGCAGGCAGTCTCTGGAAACTGGAAAAGGCCAGGAAACAGATTCTTCTCTAGAGCCTTCAGAAGGAATGCAGCTCTGCAGGCCCATTTTAAACACCTGACTTCCAGAACTATAAGATATAAATGTGTGTTCTTTTGAACCACTAAGATTGTAGTAATTTGTTAGAGCAGCAGTAGAGAACTAATACAATCACCTCTTACACATAGAATGACTCTGTTTAGTTAGGTCTTGTTGGATGTTATTCCTTCCAGACAGAAACCTGGTGTGTTAACGTATTGGGTGGGCATGTTCTTCAGGGGAGGTTAGGATACTTCTTAGCTCTAGGAGTTGGATTTCATTAATGTAGGTCAATATTTTAAATTTCATTCTCCTTGTCGATGAGTTTTAAAATGGGCATGCAGCCCATTTTGGCCATAGAGTCTGAGGTTTTCCTCACTTTCATAAAGGGACTGAGAAAAGTGTATATTTTCCTTTCGAATCCTAAGAACAAAAGCATGCTGAGGAGGACGAAGTAATCCAAAGGAGAGAATGCCAATCCATGCTGAAATCATTCAGCTGTAGAATTTACTGCCCCATTATTGCTCTACCTCTGGAATCACTTTTATATGAAATAGTACATTTCCCTTATTGTTTCAGCCAGTTGAGCTGAATTTTCTTTTATTTGCAGTCCAAAACATCTAACTAATATATAGAACAAACAAATACAAAGAAAATAAAAATTATGTATTCCAAATCCAGAGGTAATTATGATGAGAATTTTAGTGTGTTACTAAAATTAGTAACATTTAGTAGTTAGTTTTCTCCTGAATATATTTTTAGCAAAATAGAAACCCTTTAATGTTTGAGTGTATGTGTGTGTACATGTATATATCACTTGTTTACTGCTTGTTTCAGTTAGTTTTCATTTTAAAACGTCCATTGAAAGATGATTTAATAATTTAAATTATATTGACATATATTTTATTTAGCCATCCCGCTATTTTTGGCATTAGTTTACACTAATTTGAGGTTATTTTATGTTTGGTGAGCAACTGAGTACATAAATTACATGAATATTTAAAAATTTTTATTAAGCATTTCTGGGGAAGAACACTTTATAATGCATTTTGTTGCCTGATAACCTTCACATTCAAGAATTTTTTCCTAATGGCTAACCTGACCTTCTCCATTTCTTTCCTTGTATACAAAAAAAGAAAAAAGAAAAGAAAGAAAAATCCCTCCTATATTATTTGACAGTGAGGTATTTTAAGATTTTTAGCACAATGAAACCACCTTGTTTCTGCTTTATTACCCTAATGTTTAACCTGGGCTTATTTTACTCTATTATTTGAAAGTCTAATTATTGCCATTAGTGGAAAGTAAAAAAACAATTCAGTTACTTTTCTAAACTGGTACTTGTAGCTATTAGAGTAATGAAAATAGGAAGAGAAATACCAGAAGAGACATAATTTTACTTTGGTGAACTTGTTTTCTGACACAAATATGCACCCAGAAGGTTCTTCTTGTAAAGTAGTTGAAGGAAGCACTCTGAGCAGAACTACAGTTAGTATCAGCTTGGCTCCACAAAGAAAAACCTCAGGGTCTCGCAATTTGTATGGCCCCTTGTGGAGGGCCACTCATCCTAAATCAAAATCTTTCTGAGGACAGCTCCAGCCCATGTACACAGAGAAGCCAGAAGTCTTTCACGTTGCGCCATTCTTAAATATGTAAAGGCAATCAAGGATTGTTAGGCAGTTGAAGAAAGTTTGCAGAATAAAAGGGAATACAAACAAACAGATAAATGAAACTAGCATAAATGGGTGATTTATAGATTTCTTTAGAAAAAATTCTAAGTGGTATTTTCATATCTATGGACATATTCTGAAGAATGTCTCCTCATTTGATATTTTCATAGTGGAATTCCTATTGGTTTTTAGTCTCAAACTTCTACAATAAATGTATCATTCAATACAACACTTTTTAAGATGATTTTACATAAGAAAAATGTATGTCCCAAAACTTAAGAAAACATTTTAAACCAAATGATTTATCTATAAATAAAAATTATCCAGCTATATTCCAAATACATTTGGTAGAACATCAAAATCACAAATAGATATTTTGAAAAGCATGCCTAGTGTTCACAATGGGATATGTGTACTGAATGTTGCTGACACTAAGAGAAGCATCACATCATTTTACACATTCTTTGCGACTGAACCATTCTTTGCAATTGTTACTCTTGAAAAGAAGAGTAGCTTTGCAATGAAAAAGATGTTGAAGAATTATTTAAATGCATGATGAGAAATTAGCAAGTACTAAAGTTGTTCAGGATATCAGTCTGAAAAAGTTAATCACAGTGATAACCAGAAGGTATTCAATTAAACCACTAGACATTGCTTGCTGAAAATTATCTGTGGGCTCTGCTGATACAATGATAATCATTATCTTTGAACTTGGTGGAGATATTACTGCCAGATATCTCTTATATCACCATACAAATACTTCTATAAACATACTACAGGAGAGTAAGTAAAGCTTTATTCTGTAGTGTTTCATCCTAAAGAGTCAACTACATCCCTTGAAGATTCATTCAGGAGTCCCTATCTGAGCACAAAAGTGATTAAAAAAAAAAAAACTGAAAGCTTCTGAGTTTTATAGTTTGCCTGAAATTGCACCTTTGCAACCCAACTTACTCATGATATCACTTTCCACAGCCAGTGACAATGATTACATTTCAGCCCTCCTCGCCTTTCAACTTTCTTCAAGTTTCCAGTCTGTTCCTTTCTTCATGGGTATCAGGTCATCCAAGGTAATTGTCCGTTTTTGTTGCAAATTATATTTGAAATTTTCTAACATATTTATTAATTTCTGTGTGCTGGTTGCTATGCCTTGTTGGAAAAAAATATTCATGATGCACCATGAAAATGCTGCATACAGAGCAACATGCACACAAACCATTTGATAAAAACCATTCTTGTTCTGGAAATTGGGAGCAATATTTTAAACATTTTACATACTAAATGATGACTTAACTATATTTTAGTTACACTTCAGGAATTCTGTTGGGAGTTTGACTTGACATTTTAAATAACGGGGAATAGGCTACTAGTGCATATTTTCACACAGAATGTCTCATTTTCATGAATGAGTTACTAATGGTAAGTGGGAGATGTCTTCATTTAAGAAGATATTGACTTCATAAATCAAGAGTAAGCATCTCTGAAAAGGAACATTTGAGAATAAGAAAAAGTTCTTAAAAGTGAAAATATGATTGCTGAACTTATATATAAATTATAAGAGCTAGAAGATAAAGAGAAGAAGATCTCTGTAATGTGGACCAAAAAAGACAAAGAGAATTTATAAAGCAAAAAATATGTATAAACAAAAGATAGAAACATGAGGGATACAGCCAGGAATTCCAAAATCTGATTAATAAGAGTTCCACCAAAAAAATGCACAAAACACAGAGATAAAACACAGAGATAAGAGAGTCAGAGGTCTCCAAATTCAAAAGGCACACAAAGAGCAAAAGAATAAAAAATGGTCTAGGCTTCAACTCATATCCCCATAACATTTCAGAAGTACAATTACAAAGGGATCAATAAAAGCTTCCAAATAGTAAACCAGGATACTCATAAGAGAGCAAAAATCAGTCGGACGGTATAGATGTGTTAGCACCAAAAGTGGATGCTAGAGGTCAACAAGGCAAGATCTTCAAGATTCCAAAGGAAGATAATGTTGAATTTAAAGTCAAATTATAGCCACTTTCAGATAAGCAAGAACTTAAGGAGCTTACTTTAAACTCATTAATTTGAAGAACTTACTTGAAAAAGATTCATGCAAAACAAGGGTGAAATACAAGAAATAAGAAGCCATGAAATAAAAGGAACAGTGGAGAAGGAATCCCTTCTAAATGAATTTCAAGAACATGGCTATAGAACAATCTTTAAATAAATAAATAAACACAGTCATCAAACTTAGAAGTCAGTAGTCTTCCAGAAGAAAGTCTTAAAAGAACAAATACTAGAATTGATTCCAACTTGTGTATATGTTATGTGAAAAGTTGAGATGTAATAGTAAAAATAATGATGATGATGATGATTACAGCAGCAATAAATGTAGCTAACACTCATGAATGCACTTTCACATAGTGCCAGGCTCTGTCCTAAACACATGGCATTTATGATTTCATTTAATCCTCCAAGAGTCCTATGAGACACGTATTGTTTCATCATCTACATTTTATAGATAAGAAAACCCAAGACACAGTGAAGTAAGGTAATTGTCTCTAGGTCACACTATTAACTAGTGGTTAACCCAAGATCCAAACCCAGGCAGTCTATTCCAGAGCTTATACTCTAAACTGCTATACTGTGTTGAAGAAGGTACCTGTTTCTTCTTCAAACTGGAAAAAAAAAGAAATGCAAATTAAAACTCCAGGAAAAATTAAATAAATGAAAATACTCTACAAAAGGTCATGGCCCGGATACAAAGCACATTAAAATATGGCACACTTTAGAGCAATGAGTAAATTCACAAGGATCATTACTATAAATTCAGAGAAAGAGAAATGTATTTGGAACATGTATATTGGTTTTGTAGTTCTAATGTTTAAATAGTCATAATAATGAAAATGCTGCTTATAGTTTTAATCTTTTGTAATTAAAATGTAGGCCAAGTACAGAAGACTTAACATGGCAATGGAACAGAATGCAAAGCTATCAGTCTTGATAAAGTAAATATAGAGATATAGCTGATAGAAGTTGGAAGGAAGAAGAGAGGAAGAAAAGGAGGAAGGAGGTGACATGAGGAGGTGAGGTATCATCATCTTACAAAGTGAGGGACAAGATAAACTGTTGGAAGCTGATAGACCAAGGAAAAGGGTGTTAACTATATTACTTTATGAGTCAAAGATAGAGGAAACCACGTGCAAGAATTTAGTAAACACACTTCTCAAAAGCTTTTCAAAGAAATAACTGAAGAAATTGTTATAACTATAAGAAAATTAAAAGATGTGGGGAGAAGCAGAGGTGAGAGGTAATAAAAGTGAACTAAGAGCCTATCTATCCGAGAAGAAAGTCAATATAGACCATCTAAAATCAGTAAATCAAGAATATAAAGCAACCTGTTTAGCGATGTGACGGTACCTGGCAGAAGAATTAAACACAAGTAGATGTCGGGGAGTAGGACAGCAGGTGAGAGGAGGTGGGCAGAGACCCATTCTTTTTTTATCGTAGCCCTTCTGATTTTGAACGATTTGCTCATAATTCTTTGATTAAAAAGACATTTTTAAAAGGAAGAGACAAATTAAATTTGTAACTGAAAAGCTGCCCCCCCAAAAACATCTCCTAGCCAGATGGTTTCACTGGAGAGTGCTGCCAAACACTTAAAGAAGAATTAACACTACTTTTACACAAACTCTTCCAGAAAATAGAAGAGAAGGGAACACTTCCTAAACCACTTCATGAGGCCATTTTTACTCTGACAAAGTAGACAAAGACAGTACAATAAAAAGAAAACTGCAAACCAATGTCTCTCAACTGCAAACTTAGACATAAAAATTCTCAGTGTATTAGCAGACGGAATCCAACAATGTATAAAAAGGATTATACACATGATCAATTGGGATTTATCCTAGGTATGTAAGTCTGGCTCAATATTCAGATATCAATGTAAAGGCTTCCCTGGTGGCGCAGTGGTTGAGAGTCCGCCTGCCGATGCTAGGGGACACGGGTTCGTGCCCCGGTCCGGGAAGATCCCGCATGCCATGGAGCGGCTGGGCCCGTGAGCCATGGCCACTCAGCCTGCGCGTCTGGAGCCTGTGCTCCACAATGGGAGAGGCCACAACAGTGAGAGGCCCGCGTACCGCAAAAAAAAAAAATCAATGTAATCCACCAGAGCAACAAGCTAAAGAAGAAAACTCATATCATAGCAATTGACACACAAATAACATTTGACAAAATCCAACACCCATTCATGATAAAAGTTCTCAGCAAGTTAGTAATAGAGAGAAACTTTCTCAGCTTTATAAAGAGCATGTACAAAAACCTACAGCTAACATCATATTTAATGGTGAAAGACAATGCTTTTTTTCTCAAATTGGGAACAGAGCATGGATGTCTGCTCTCACCACTCTTATGTAGCATAGTGCTTGAAGTTCAAGCCACTGCAAGGAGGCAAAGAAAAGAAATAAAAGATATAAAGTTTGGAAAGGAAAAATAAAACTACCTCTATTTGCAGAAGACATTATTTTCTACATAGAAAATCCCAAGAATCTACAAAATCTCCTAGAATAAGTGAATTCAGCAAAGTCAAAGTATATAAGGTCAACACACAAAACTCAGTGGTATTTTTATATTAACAAGTAACGTGCAGAAAATGAAATGAAAAATACCATACTACTTATAATTACTCCAAAGAAAGTGAAATACTTAGGTATACAGCAAACAAAACATAGTTTTCAGTTCTGTGTGCTGAAAATTACAAAATGCAGATGAAGAAAATCAAAGAATACATAAAGAAATGGTGAGACATACTGTGTTAATGGATTGGAAGTCTCAATATATTAAAGATGTCTGTTCTCCCAAAATTGATCAATAGGTTTAATGTAATTCCTATCAAAATCCCAGCAAGGATTTTTGAAGACATAGACAAGCTTATTCAAAACTTTTTAATAGGCACAGGGCCTAAAATAGCTAAAATAATCTTGACAAAGAAGAAGTGGGAGGAATTCCTCTGCCTGATATCAAAACTTCTATGTAGATAAAGTAATCAAAACAGTGTGGTATTGCCAGAGGGATAAACACAGATGAATGAAGCAGAATAGAGAATTTAGAAATAGATCTGCACAATATGCTCAAAGGATTTTTGACAAAGGTGTGATTCAATGGAGGAAGGATTGCCTGTTCCACAAATAGTGCTGGAGCAATTGACATTTATAGGTGAAAATAAGCAAACAAAACAAACAAAAACTTAAATCTCACCCTTTATACAAAAATTTATTCAAACTGGATTGTAGACTTAAAAGTAAATGTAAAGCTATGCAACTTTGGGGAAAAAGCATAGAAAATTATCAGGGCTGAGCACAGAATTCTTAGAGTCCTTAACTGACACCAAAAGCTCAATGCATAAAAGGAAAAATTGATAATTTGGACCTCATCAAAATTAAACACTTGCTCTGTTAAAGCCCATGTAGAGAGATGAAAAGACCAGCTACGGACAGGGAGAAAATATGTACAAAGTATATATCTGACAAAAAACTAGTATCAATAGAATATATAAACTCTCAAAACTCAGCAGCGCAAAGACAAACAGTCCAATTAGAAAATGGACAAATCACATGAAGAGAAATTTCATCAAAGAGGATATACAGATGGGAAACGAATACATGAAAAGATGTTCAGCATTGTTAGAAATCAGGAAAATGAAAACTGAAACCATGATATCAATACACGTCTATCAGAATGGCTAAAAGAAAATATAGTGACAACACAATGTTGGCAAGGATGTGGAGAAACTGGATCACTTATACATTGCCAGCAGGAATATCAAATGACACAGCCGTTCTGGAAAATAATGTCGCAATTTCTTATAAAACTAAATATGCAATTACCATGCAGCCAGGGGATTCCATTCTTGCGTATTTATCCCAGAAAAATTAAAAGTTTTGTTCACACCCAAACCTATATGTGAATATTCATAACTGCTTTTTCGGTAATAGTCAAAAACTGGAATACCCCAGATGGTCTTCAGTGGATGAATGATTAACCAAACTGTGGTACATATATTCTGTGGAGTATTAGTCAGCAATACAAAGGAACAAACTTGATAAATGCAACAACTTGGATGCATGTCCAGGGGACTCTGCTAAAAGAAAAGAGCCAGGCTGTAGGCGCACGGGCTTCAGTAGTTGTGGCACATGGGCTCAGTAGTTGTGGAGCATGGGCTTAGTTGCTCCATGGCATGTGGGATCTTCCCAGATCAGGGATGGAGTCCGTGTCCCCTGCAATGGCAGGCAGATTCTTAACCACTGCACCACCAGGGAAGCCACTGTAATGAGAAGCCTGCGCACCACATGAAGAGTAGCCCCTGCTCGCCGCAACTAGAGAAAGCCCGCACCCAGCAATGAAGACCCAATGCAGCCAAAAATAAATTAATTAATTAATTTAAAAAAAAGAAAAGAGCCTATCCCAAAAGATTATTTAGTATATTGCTCAATTTATATGCCATTTTTGAAATGAGAAAATTTTAGAAATGGAAAACAGACTAGTGGTTGCCAGTAAGGTTAGGGGCAGGGAGGGGCAGAGGTGGGAGGGGCATATGAGTGTGGTTATAAAAGGGCAACAGGAGGGGCTTTTGTGGTGTTGGAAGTGTTCAGTATCTTGGCTGTGATGGCAGGTACTTGAACCTATTAATAAAATCTATAGAACACACGCACACTGAGATGAGTACAGGTAAAGTTGGAAAACCTGAATAAAATCAGTGGATTGTATTAACGTCAATATCTTGGTTGTGATAGTTTACTGTAGTTTTACAAAATGTTACCATTGGGGGAAACTGGGCAAAGTATACAAGGGATCTTTCTGTATTATTTCTTACAACTGCATGTGAATCTATAATTATCTCATAAAATTTTCAATTGATAAAGAGAAAGAAAAAATGAGAGGTCAGGAGGGTATAGCCTTCATGAATGGGATTTGTCTTCTTGTAAAAGAGATGCCACAGAGCTCTCTCTCGCCCTTTCTGCCAAGTGAGAATACAGTGAGAAGTCTGCAACCCGGAAGAGGGTCCTCACCAAACCATGCTGGCACTCTGATCTCGGGCTTCCAACTCCCAGAACCGTGAGAAATAAATCTCTGTTGTTTATAAGTCACCCCATCCACGGCACATTGTTATAGCAGCCCAAATGGACATGCCTCCTCTCAGAGCCAGCTGGGCAGCTTCCATCTCCTTCCCTAAGTCTAACAAGAATTCTGGAGAAAAATGGCTCATCTTCTTTGCTGTCAGTTTCCTCTTGCAGTCTCTCTATTGAGTCTTCTTCTTGGCACTTGGAAACTGTAAGAATCTTCTCCCTGTCCCTCCACTCTGCAGGAGTTAAGGTTCCTTCTGGCAATGAGCTAAGCCAACTGGACTCAATTCCTCCAGAATTTCTACTAAAGATTGGAAAAATGATTGGATATGAGATAATACAATAAAATAATGATTGGACTAGAAGAGAATAGATGTGTATAGCGATAAGGAGAGAGAGAGAGGGACAGAGACAGAGACATTGATTTGTGAGCCGTAGTACTATCTTGAATCATTGATTCATAATTACTTTCTATAGGTGGTGTCAGTTCATGTGTATCTTTATCATAAACCTCAATTTCGGATTGAGTCTCAGTTTCTTGAAACCCATGGCAGTACAGTGTTTTCTTTTCTTTGTTTTAATTTTTATTGGAATATAGTTGATTTACAATGTTGTGTTAGTTTCTGCTGTACAGCAAAGTGAATCAGTTATACATATACATATATCCACTATTTTTAGATTCTTTTCCCATATAGGTCATTACAGAGTACTGAGTAGAGTTCCCTGTGCTATACAGTAGGTCCTTATTAGTTATCTATTTTATATATAGTAGCGTGTATACGTCAGTACCAATCTCCCAATTTATCTGTCCCCCCACCTTTCCCTGTGGTAACCATAAGTTTGTTTTCTACATCTGTGACTCTATTTCTGTTAAATAAGTCCATTTGTACCATTTTTTTAGATTCTGTGTATAAACGATATCATATATTTGTCTTTCTCTGTCTGACTTACTTCACTCAGTATGACAATCTCTAGGTCCATCCATGTTGCCACAAATGGCATTATTTTGTTCTTTTATATGGCTGAGTAATATTCCAGTGTATATATCTCTCCCCCTCTTACCCCGTGGTTACCATAAGTTTGTTTTCTACATCTGTAACTCTATTTCTGTTTTGTAGATAAGTTCATTTGTACCCTTTTTTTTAGATACCACATATAAGTGATATACGATATTTGTCTTCCTCTGACTTACTTCACTCAGTATGACAATCTCTAGGTCCATCCATGCTGCTGCAAATGGCATTATTTTGTTCTTTTTATTTCTATTTTATTTATTTATTTTTTGCAGTACACGGGCCTCTCACTGTTGTGGCCTCTCCTGCTGCGGAGCACAGGCTCCGGACGCGCAGGCTCAGCGGCCATGGCTCACGGGCCCAGCCGCTCCGCGGCATGTGGGATCCTCCTGGACCAGGGCATGAACCCGTGTCCCCTGCATCGGCAGGCGGACTCTCAACCACTGCGCCACCAGGGAAGCCCTGTTCTTTTTTAATACAGTGTTTTCTTAATGCTTCCACTCAAAATAGAAAGAACAAGCAGTGCTTGAGCTGGGAAATTTTCTTCAAAATCCATGTTGGGGCTCTTGGTTCTGGCCTTTCCCTAATCCATTGAGATTCTCTTTTGTTCCTTGCTCAGGGATGCATCATTAAAGTAATCCTCTCAACAAACTCATGGAAGACAGGAAATCTGGAAAGAGCACCCTGGTTTCTGATGTTACAAGTGTTTGTTTTGTAAACAATAAAATAATGCTCCCATAATTATGCTTAAGATAAATGTGCTTTCAATTTTAAGAGGCTGTAGAAGGTTCTCAATACCATGCTTAAGTTATTCATCCATTCAACAAAGAAGCAGTAGGTGCTTGATCCACAGCTACTGAGGGCCAGGAATTTCCCTGGGAATTTTATCTGGGGAAACAAACACAAAAAAATAAATGGCATTGTCCTTGCTCAGAGGAAGTTGAGAAGAAACCAATAAGGGCAACAAAGGTGCTGCTCTGGAGGGCACATGGAGACAACAGTGGTCAGTTCTATCTGAAAATGGTGGTGGCCTTCAAAGGTTTCCAAAAGAAGACGACTTTTGAGTCAAGTCCTAGAAAATGGGTCCACAGTTCGATAGTGGGGATAGGGTGCCAATCCAGGGTGACAGCATCCAGGCGTGGAGCAGCACAATGTATTCTGGGAAATGGGAACTGAAAGCAACTCTGTAAATTCCTCAGCAGAGGATTCGGGCATGAAGAACACGGACAGAAATGTTAAAGACAGACAGGCAAGTGAGAGTGCAGAGAACCTCGGGGACCATTTTAAGGCACTTGGGCTTTATCTTTTAGGCACGTTTTAACATTTAAAACGTATTTCAGGAAGACTATTCCAGCAGCAATTTTGAGGGTAGTGAAGGAGTGGAGGTGAGAATGTATGAGGAAACCATTGCACTGCTCCAGGGCACAGGTGATGGGGTGAACATAAGGAGTCTTTATGGTTAGAGAATTAAGCACAGATGTATTTGGCTTTGCCGAGTTATATTCTGATGATTTTAACGTTTTTGCACGTATGGTCTGGCTGGTGGCAGTCATCATAGGCTCCCCCAGGTGGCATGTGCAACGACTTGAGGTAGATTCGGGGCTGGGATTGGTAATCACACTATTGAAACGTCTTCCCTCCCCTCTTAATTATAATCATTTTCCTTCCTGCAAGAGTGTTACAGCAAATTTGTATGATCTCAGTTATTTCACTGGAGGTTTCTCAAGTGGAATAAAATAATTTGCTTTAAGATTTTTTCCTCTGCTTTATCCAGATCTTACATCGTTAAGACTTTAATGTTTAAAATAAAATGTACCAGGGACACATTCTACATTTTCCTGCCAGCGGAACATGCCTTTCCTAGTGTTCTTCAGTGTCTTGTTATGTTTTAAGAGTTCAGTGCTCGCTCTAGACTTTTCTTTTATTTTTAAGACACATGAAAAATTTGTAACCTCTTATCTACTTATTGGTTGATTCTCCTTCGTAAGCCGTTTCTCACCTGCCTGCCTATTCATTGACAAATTGAAATCTGAACTGGAACATGTAAAAGGATGTTCCAACCTCTCTGCTTCCCCAACATCTTTGTCAGATGGGCCCAGGCTTCTGGTGATTCACAGTGAAGGAAGCACCGCGCCATTTCTGGTGACCCGGTCTCTCCATTGGGGTGTACTTGAATGCGTCCTGCCTGGAAGATCTAGCATGGACAGTAGTCATTAAGGACACTAGGGGGTTGCTCACATACCCTCTAGATAATTTTTGAAACTATGTGTCTTTTGTACCTTTTAAATTGACATAAGCAAATGTGAAACTTTACTGGGCACTCAGTATCCACTGGCAAGGGCATCAAATGAGCCCTCAGGCAAGGGTACATTTAAAAAGCGGCTTGACATTTGATGCAACTGGTATATTGAATGAGCTGGACTCCACAGGTAAGAGCAGAAGGCAGTTTTATTCTATCCCTTGCCACCTACAAAAATGCAGTCTTTCCAGTCCTCTGATGAAATGTGGTGGATGAAGCCTTGAGTGGGCCCTGTAACTCTTGTGGTCATTCAGAGAATAAAATTCCTCTGGTCACTTTCAGTCATAAGAACAGTGACTGGTCACTGAATAGAGTTAGTTCCCTTATCAAAATGTCTAGTCCAGTGTCACAATCCCATAAGTCCATACCCTCAATCAATTTAAAACGTCTCCCTTCCCCCAGTTTGAGCCATCTTTAGGCCTAGAATCCTACAGTATGCAGAGGGGATACTATCCCCTTATTCTGCATATGACCGTTTCCCACAACTGATTCTTTACTTCATGGGTTTCTCACAAATAACAACCCTGAGGCTTCCAACGGCTACTCCCTTTAGCCAGCTGCTAGTGAAGACCTTTCAGCTTCCACACACAACTGGACGTGACCAGCTCCTTTCTCTGAGGCTGCCCTTATCTCCAGCAGGAAACCCACACCAATGAAGCCCTTTTATAAATGACTCAACCCAGTTCCCACGTGGGGTCCATTTCTGACCCATAGAACACAAAGAGATGTGTCCATTTTTAAAATAAAATTATGTTATCATATATATAAATAATTTTATATATAAATATATAAAATTTATATATTTTAAATATATAAATCATTTCATTTGTAGAAAATGCATAAAATCTAATTGGCAAAGCCAGTCCTCTCTGTCACAGATCAGCCAAATCAGATTTGCTTTCTGTCAAGAAAAAGTATGATTTCATTTTGCAAATCAAATAAACGTATTAACATGCTTTCCCACGGCCGCCTTCTCATTCCTAAGCCCTATTAGCGAGAGTGCGAGCATACAAAAGGCCTTAATCCCTCAGCTGGATGAAATGAAGCACCACTAACTTCACCATTTCCACTAATGTTCTCTTTGCTTTGCTCTCACTGGCTCTCTCTCCGGAGTAATGTATTTGACAACTTTCAGGGAATGGAAGCAATGAGGTGGTTAGGTTAAAGTTGCCCCATTACTTCTGCCCCTTCACTGTACAGAAAATGGGAATTCACAACATGTCATCACCTGTCAAAACACCTTTTTTCCAATGCCAAGTTTTCCTCTGAATAGAAATACAGGGAGAAGCACAAAGCCCCGTCATGGATTTATGGTGCCTCGATCAAGGTGGCTTCACTGACATCAAATGGTTTGAACCACGTCTTGCTTTGGTGGGCCCATAGTGAGATTGGGGTTGGGTGAGAGATATGACTTGTGAAAATTGAAGGAAGGGTGATTATGAAAGAGGAACTGAGGATGTACACTCAGCATGACACTTCAACCCCAGGCCTTCTCTTTGGCAGTGGAGTTTTAGAGAAGTATGTGTTTGGAAATAGAAGATCTGAGATTGGTTCCCATGAAACCACCTGAGCGTGCCCTCAGAAGGTCTTTGCTTGTCCCCAGGGGAACGTGCACCTGTTCAGAGACTGTCAGTCTCGCCTGGTGCTTTAGAATGTGTCAGTACGTGGCCCCCATGGTTGTTGGCCCGGTGGGCTCTGCCTACATGGAGTCAGAATGAGTTTCACCATAATATCCTCTTCTCAGAGAGCGTGGATCTTGAAATTATTGTTCAGTAAGTGTTTTCATTCTTAGTTGTATTTGAAAAATAACACCTAGATCAGAACTTGAATTTTCATACTTTTGATAACTATACCAGAAAGCTTGTTTCCCCCATTCAATTGACTTTGAAGATTGGTGAAAATCCTCTGGGAATGGAGGCAGAAATATGTCTTAAGACCTAAGTATTCTTCACCTGGAAAGCTCCAGAGTGACTCAAACTACAACAGTTTCCATAAATTCTCTAACTTTAATTCCTATTATCCAGATATGTGACTTTTGAATATGCTTTAAATGTTTGGTTTGTCCCTTATTAGCATTTTCTATTACTATTAATATTTTTTAAACACCTTTATTGGAGTATAATTGCTTTACAATGCTGTGTTAGTTTCTGTATTAATACTGTTATTATTAATTTTTTGAACCCATGAGATCAGTCTGTTAGAAATAGTATTAAAAATTAGAAATTGCCTTTCTGTAAAATATATAGCTCAAAGGCTTATAATTTGGTCTGAATATTCATACATTGGCAATAGTTTGAATCCCAGTTTCTCATTCATCTCAGAATCTACAAGCTACCACTTGCCTCTCTGAAATCTTTGCAAGCAACCTGATCATTGCAATCTGAAATAGCAGGAACAAAATACAGACTTGCAGTACGAATTCAATTGGAAGAAGCCTGATGCCATGTCAGAATTGGTCTCTTCAACAACTGAGGGAGCAAAATAATGTAACAGTAAATTAGCTGGCATGCTGGTACAAAGTATTCTTTTCATACATACTTTGGTCATTGTAGTGTTCTTTCTTTCACCCAACTAAAAACTTAACGACTATCGTGTAAAAAGATGAGAAAGATAAAAAAAAGTGAACAGGCTATGGACCTCAATTCCATTTAAAATAAAAAAGAAAATATGAAACTCTTAAGAATTTAAGCAGTGGAGTGGAAAAACCCCACACCTCCCAACAAAAGAACAATCAAAATTGTATCTCACTTGAAATATGTACCCACGGTAAATATGTAAGGATCTGAAAAATGCTGCATTACAGTAGTATTTTGCTGCTTTTTGTTCTTTTTTTTGTGTGTGTGTGGTACGCGGGCCTCTCACTGTTGTGGCCTCTCCCGTTGTGGAGCACAGGATCCGGACGTGCAGGCTCAGCGGCCATGGCTCACGGGCCCAGCCGCTCCGCTGCATGTGGGACCCTCATGGAAAGCATGAACCCGTGTCCCCTGCATCGGCAGGCGGACTCTCAACCACTGCGCCACCAGGGAAGCCCTGCTTTGTGTTCTTTTGATGCTGCCTCTGGCTCTTCTAACTGAATTGTGTTTATTTTAAAGATTAAGTATAACTTCTTATATGAAAAAGAACACATCTGCTGCTTGGAAGAGTGGACCAGCCCTGGGCACCAGAAAATCTATACTACCTTCATCCTTGTCATCCTCTCCCTCCTGCCTCTTATGGTGATGCTTATCCTGTACAGTAAGATCGTCTATGAACTTTGGATAAAGAAAAGAGTGGGGGATGGCTCAGTGCTTCAAACTATTCATGGAAAAGAAATGTCAAAAATTGCCAGGTCTGTTTAATGGAATATTCACCTCTGTTTAAAATATTTTTAGTTTGATATATATACACAAATATGCATAAAATAGATAACTAATAAGAACCTGCTGTATCAAAAATATATATATATATTTTAATTAGTTGTGCTGGAAGAGACCATTGCCAGAGATCTCAGAATTCCTGGGTAATTTGGTCAAAGTGTCATTTGTAATTCACGTTTAGCACATGGACTGATTTTAAACTTTTGAGATTTTACATATGGCAGGAAGAAAGGGTGATTACCAGCTCCCAAATCAAAGAGGAAGTCACTGTTATAAATAGTTACTCGGAATTTTAAAAATCGTTATATTTTCTTCTGCATGTCAATATGACGCAGTAGGAATGGCTGTGGCACCCTCCTCTCTCTGCCACTCCTCACCAGCCACGTGATGTGGATAAGTCTCCTTACTCCCAAGGCCCCTGCTTTCCTCATGTGTACCAGGAAGCATGATAATATCCATCCTTGCTTCCTCCCACCCAAGGATGATGCTAAAAAATGTGAGATGAGGGGCTTCCCTAGTGGCGCAGTGGTTGAGAGTCCACCTGCCGATGCAGGGGACGCGGGGTCGTGCCCCGGTCTGGGAGGATCCCACATGCCGCGGAGCGGCTGGGCCCGTGAGCCATGGCCGCTGGGCCTGCACGTCCGGAGCCTGTGCTCCGCAACAGGAGAGGCCACAACAGTGAGAGGCTCACGTACCGCAAAAAAAAAAAAAAAAAAAAAAAAAGTGAGATGATATATATGAAAATCCTTTGGAAATGAGAGTATGTTATTTATTTAAAATTATTATTATTGATTTATTTTTACCTAAAAGCTTTACTTTCTGATCATATTGATTAATAGAAATTTAAAAACACAATTTACTGCTATGATACTCATGGGCCGTATGGTTTATTTTATAATCTACACTGAATGGCCATTAAAAACAAAATCTTAGGGTCTTCCCTGGTGGCACAGTGGTTAAGAATCCGCCTGCCAGTGCAGGGGACGCGGGTTCGAGGTCTGGTCCGGGAAGGTCCCACATGCTGCGGAGCAGCTAGGCCCGTGCGCCACAACTACTGAGCCTGTGCTCTAGAGCCCACAAGCCACAACTACTGAAGCCAGTGCGCCTAGAGCCCGTGCTCCACAAGAGAAGCCACTGCAATGAAAAGCCTGAGCACCTCAACGAAGAGTAGCCCGGCTCACAGTAACTAGAGAAAGACCGCGCGCAGCAACAAAGAGCCAACACAGCCAAAAATAAATAAATTAAATAAATAAATTTTTTTAAAAAACACCAAAATCTTAGCAGTCTAGTGGTTTGATGAAATTATCATTTCTACAAGTGTACAGCGACCTCTAGTGTTTATATAAAGAACTCCTCCCTCTCGACGTACAGGGTGCTGGACTGTTCAGCACCTTGGGACGTACTGCAGATTTAGCTCTCTCACTTCCTCAGAAGAAAGGACTACTGTGCTGAGTTAATAAATAATGAATATGACTCGTTGTAAACTTGAAAGTGTGTAAATCTCTTGCAGACATTAATCTCCTTTACTCCGTTTCAGTAAGGAAAAACTACTTTTCTTAATGCTTAGCAAAAAGTTTTGCCTTTGCTTTTAAAGGAGACCTGGATTTTTTTTTTTATTGCAATGTATTTCACATACCATAAAATTTACCACTTAAAAGTATGAAATTTAGTAGTTTCCAATATATTCACAAAGTTATGCAATTATTGCCACAAACTAATTTCAGAATATTTTCATGGCCCTGAGTTAAAAATACTGTACTTATTAGCAGTCATTCTCCACTGTGACCTTCTTCCAGCCTCTGGAAACCTCTAATCTATATTCTGTCTCTATAGGTTTGCCTTTTCTGGACATTTCATAAAAATGAAGCCATACAATATGTGGCCTTTGTGTCTGGTTTCTTTCACATAGTATAATGTTTATAAGTATCATCATGTTGTCACATGTTAGTTCATCCCTTTTTATGGATAAACAATATTCCATTGACTGGATATACCACATCTTGTTTTTCAATTCATCTGTTGATAGACATTCGGGTTTTCTTCTATTATGAATGATGCTGCTATGAACATCCCTATATAAGTTTCTGTTTGAACATATATTTTCAATTCTCTTGGATATATATACATAGGATGGAATTGCTGGGTCATAAAGTAACTTTACATTTAACTTTTTGAAGAACTGCCAAACTATTGATATTTTCTACAGTAACTGAACCATTTTACACTCCCACCAACAATGTTCAAGAGTTGTAATTTCTCTATAATTTCACCAGCACATGTTACTTTCTAATTTGTTTTAATGATAAACACCCTAGTGAGTATGAAGTGGTATTTCCTTGTACTTTTGATTTGCATTTCACTGATGACTAATGATATTGTGCATCTTTTCATATGCTTTTTGTCAACTTGTATATCTCCTTTAGAGAAACGTCTATTCAAATCTTTTGTCCATATTTTACTTAGATTATTTATCTTCTTATTTTTGAGCTGAAGTAATTCATTACATATTCTGGATATAGCTCCTTAACAGATTTATGATTTACAAATCTTCAACTCATTTTGAGGTTATCTTTTCTCTTTCTTGATACAGTCCTTTGATAGACAAAAGTCTTTTTTCATTTGATGAAGTCAAATTTATCTGTATTTTCTTGGGTTACTTTGTGTTTTATGTGATAATATTAAAAAAAAAAATCACCTAATCCAATGTAACAGAATTACATCTAAGTTTTCTTCCAAGAGTTTTAGAGTTTTAGCTCCTACATTTAGATCTTCAATCCATTTTGAGGTATGAGTCCAAATTCCTTCATTTGCATATGGATTGCACATGAAGAAATTGTGCAAGGAATTGTGCAAGGAATTGCACAGTTGTCTCAGTGCCTTTTATTGAAAAGATGATTCTTCCCCCCATTGAATGGATTAAGCACATTGACCAATAATCAACTGACCAGGATGTTTAGATTTATTTCTTGACCCACAATTTTCTTCCATTGATATATGTGTTAATTTTAATGCCCATACCACACTATCTTGATTAATGTAGCTTTGTAATATGTTTTGATATCTGAAAGCATGAACACTCCTACTTTGTTCTTTCTTTTCAAGATTATTTTGGCTATTCTGGGTCCCTTACATTTCCATATAAATTTTAGATTGTTTGTCAATGTCTGTAAAAAATGTAATTGGAATTTTGATGAAGATTGCATTGAATATGTACATCAACTTGGGTAGTATTGCCATCTTAACAATAGTCTTTCAGGTTCATGAGCGCAGGATGCCTTTCTATTTATTTAATATCTTTCTTAATTTATTTCGTTTTATAGTTTTCAGTGTACTATTCTTGTACTTTTTTAAACAAAATTTATTCTTAAATATTTTATCCTTTTTGATGTGACTATAAATGAAAGTTTTAAAAAATTTCTTTTCTAATTGATCGTGGCTGTTGTACAGAAATTCAACTGATTTTTTATATTGATCTTGCACCCTGCTATCTTGTTGAATTATTAGCTCAAAATATTTTTTGTGGATTCCTAGGACGTTTTATGTATAAGATTGTGTTTTCTGTAAATAGAAGTAGTTTTACTTTTCCATTTCCCATCTAGATGACTTTTCTTTTTCTTGTCTAATTGTCTTGGCTAGAACCTCTAGAACAATGTTGAATAGAAGTAATAAGAATGGACAGCTTGTCTTGTTCCTGATTTGGGGGGAAAGCTTTCAGTATTTCACCATAAAGTATGATATTAATTGTAGGTTTTACATTAATGTCCTTTATCAGGTTAGATAAGTCCCCTTCTATTCCTGTAACATCTATTGACATGTTCATGTGGTTTTTGTCCTTTATTCAAATAATATGAGGTTTTACATTGAATGATTTTCATGTGCTGAATTAATCTTGCATTCCTGGAATACATCTCACTTACCATAATTAAATAATCCTTATATGCTGCTGAATTTAGTTTGCTAGTGTTTTGTTGAAGATTTTTGCATATGCATTCATAAGAGATATTGGTCTGTAATTTTCTTTTCTTGTGATGTCTTTGTCTGCTTTTGGTATCAGGGTAATACTGGCCTCATGAATGCATTGTGAAGTTGTGCCTCCTCTTATGTTTTTGTTTTGTTTTGTTTTGAGGAGCATTTGCAAATATGTTAATTTCTCTTTAAACGTTTAGTAGAACTCACCAATGAAGCCATCTGGGCCTGGACTTTTCTTTGATTATTAATTCAATCTTTTCACTTATATTAGGTCTATTCCATTTTTCTATTTCTTCTTAAATCAGTTTCCGTAGTTTGTGTCTTTCTAGGAATTTGTTAATTCTGACCAAGTTAGGTAATGTTGGGGCATACCCTTTTTATGGTATTCTCTTATGATTCTTTTTATTTCTGTAAATTCTCAGTAATATTCCACTGTCTATTCTACTACATACACCTCTAGAACTAAATACAGTCATATTTTCTTCAGTTTCCCAGTGCTAGGCAGGAATCCACTAAAACATAAAAGCACATCGTTGTTGATTTTATTCTAAATTTTCTGGAAATGAACCACAATTCTTCCTCAAGAAAATTTTTTAAAAATTACTCACATTTTCTATTATTAATCTGATTTATTGCACTGTCATCCTGTATCAGTTGGGATTCAGTTACCAGATACAGAACACATAGACTCTAGCCTAGTATGTTTAAGCAAAATAAGTCTTTTTTTTTTTAAAGCCAGATATTTGGCACCTAACATTGATGGGCAGGGAATTGGGAAGCCAACCCCCACTGCTGGCTCCAGGAGCACACCACTTCCACCATGATCCATTCCATGAAAATGGATGTCCTATGTTTAACACTGGAGAATGAGGAACTCAGCTGTGGGACCCCTGTAAGAGCTGCCACAGAAAAGCCAAATGCCTCTGTGACTATCTTTACCAGCAGGATCCAGGTTTTTGCCCACCCTACCTTTATTCATTCTCAAGGCGATACTGCTGGGACACACTCAGGTTTCTTAGTGTTTTCATTATAATTTATTTAGTCACCACTTTGAGCCACTTAGAAATGTAAACAAACTTTAAGAGTAAGTTTCTCTTTAGATGGAAAGATCTGTCTCCAGTGGTACCTTTTTAAATGTGTCCTTTGTTTCTTTCAGCTTTTATATATTTTTAGAGACTTTCTATTGTACTCCTTTTCACATAACTCTTGTATACATAACTGCTAATGTTTGCATATTTTCTTCCTTGAGTTAAAGTTTACTTCAATTCCCTCTCTACATCATCATTACATATTTCTGAGATGCAAAGTACTTATATTTTCCAGGTATTTGAAAGAAGAATGTCTACATTTAAAATGTCTGTGTCTATGATGATATAATGTTAGAGAAGCAAATATTTACATGAAGCCAAAAGGAAAGAAAAAAAATCATGTGACAAGGGGAAAAATCTATAATCAAAAACTATAATCTTTACTTAAATCAGTGGGGAAAACTGCCAACTGAGAACCTTGAATGAAGGGTAATTTTCCGTTTGTGTTATGGTACAAAATAAAAGACTCGTGAATTTGGAAGATAATATTC